CGTGGTTTTCACCGCGAGCCTGCCTGCCGCCGCTCCGAGGCCAGGCCAAGCCAAGGCAGGCGAGCAGCGGCACCGCCTCAGCCCCTGGGCCCGCCCCGATCCAGGGTCGCAGGCCGGCCGCTGCACGCCATCGCGCTCTCGATTTTGATTTCGCATCTGATGTCTCGTGCGAGTCAGATTGACCCCCTCCCCCCCTGTGCTGCGGATCCGCTCGACTGGCGATTTTTTTTGGTGGGAGCGAAGAAAATGGCCGCCAGGCTTAGCTTCCTCCTTCTTCCCGGCCCTACCGTCTCTGACCGCCTCCTTCTGCCCGCCTCTGTACCAACCCCTCACCACACGTCCGCACCGCCTGGCCAACATGTCGAACCCGAACCTGGCCGAGGTCATGAACAATGGCGGTCCTGCCACCGTCAGCGACAAGATTACCCTGGTGAGCATGGCTGTGCCCTCAGTGGTAAACGGCGCGACCAAAGAGCGAGGGGACGAGCCCTGCTGACGCTCGAACATCAACCTGCGCCTTCGCCCTGCAGCTTCCCGGATACGAGCCTGACCTGTCGGCCGCCACCTTCTGCCTCAAGGAGGAGGACCACACACTGGGCAACTCGCTCAGGTACATGCTGATGAAGGAGTGAGTCGATCCGCGATCCGATGCGTGCCGTGGAGACGACGACGACGACGACCGACGACGACGACGACGACGACGACGACGACACCACCATCTGCGACAAAGGCGGACGCCCGAAGATTATACTTCAACCCATTGACTCTACGCGAAAAGCTTCGTAAGAACGCCCAGTAGCCATGCGGGTTCAATAATACAGGAATTCTTCGTTGCTGAGGGCACGCCTTCCGCAGGCAGGGAGGATGGCGGAGAGGACGGGGAACGAAGTCGGACGATGCCATGTCGACGACGAGCTATGTCGCTGACGACGGACCTCACCTTTTTCCACGCCCCGCCTCTTTCGTGACACAGCGCCCGCGTCGAGTTCTGCGGATACAGCGTCCCGCACCCGTCCGAGGCCAAGATCCACCTCCGCGTCCAGATGTACGGTGAGTGTCCCGCGGCGTATCGCCCCGACGATGGCAGCGACGGCCGGCGACCGGCGACCGACGACCTGGGTACGGCAGAGATGCGAAAATGGGATCGGAAACCCACCCCTCACCTGCAAGTGCGGGGGTGGCGTGACGTCAACCTCTATTATATATTGTACCAATTGTTCCTACTGAGCCTACCCTGCGTCGACATCGCTGCCGCCGTCGTCGTCGTCGCGAGAGAGAAAGAGGGATCGAGGTGGCGATACTCCGCCATGGACCCGTCGCTGACCCTGCGCCTGCATCCCTCTGCCCTGTACTCACTCTTAGACAACGCATCGGCCATGGACGCCGTCAGGGACGCGCTCGACAACCTCGACCGGCTCTTTGAGACGATCGGCCAGGCGTACGAGGCCAACCTCGAGGCGGGCAATTACGAGCGCTTCACCGAGCCGCAGCTGGACCACGCCGCGCTGGAAAAGATGGCCAAGGTGGGCAAGGAGCGCCGCGCAAAGGAAGAGGCCGAAAAGGCGGCGGCACGGCGGGCCGCTGCTGCCGACGCCGCCGGCCGGCCCATGTAGAGTGGCGCCGTCGCCGTCGTCGTCGTCGCTGCCGTCGTCTTTATCGAGGTGCTGCTCGGGTTGGCTCGTCGTCGCCTCTGGCACGCTCCGCTGGCCTCGACGGGGTCTCGCACCTGGTCAGCCCGCGTGCATCCGCCCTGGCCCTGCCGCCACCTACTTGTACTTTCTCTTCTCTCCCTCTCCCTCTCCTCTCTCTCTCTCTGCCTCGTTTGGCCGCCCAGCATTTGTATTTGTACGCCGCTTCCTTCATTGCATGCATGTCCCTCGTCGTCGTCGCATTCCGAGTGTGGTTGAGGGCGCGGCGCTGCCCTGTGGTGGGCATGCTACGCGTGCGTCGGTGAGAGAGTCATTGCAGATGAGCCACGCGCTCTTGCCGACGTGCTAGGAGCCCGTTTCGAACTCGATTCCCTTCATGGCCTCTCCGACCTTTGGCTGTGCGCGCGCCTTGAACTCTCCCTCGCCGCCTCCGCCCATTTCGGCATCCTCTGCCTCGCCGTAGGTTGCCATGTCGGCCTGGTCTGCGGTCGAGATGCCGGGCTGGGTGGTCGAGGTGACGTCGATCTGGAAGTCGTCTACCCCGACTGCGTTTTCGAGTCCTTTTAACGGCGGGGGAGGAAGGGTTGGCAGGGGGGAGAGAAGAATGAGGGACATGAGCCGAGGCGCTCAAAAACGTCGGGTTGCGATGGAGCGAGGACGCACCCTGCTGCCTGAGCCTGTTATCCTCCATCCTCCTCTGAGGGCTCTTGAGCTCGTCGTCGCTCATATGCGCCACCTGCTCGGCCGTGACGGTGCCTTGGACGAGGCTGGCGGCGAGCTGCGGGTTGTCCCTCTTGAGCGTGAGGCCGAGGTTGCGCACCTCTGCGCGGTACTCGTTTGAGGTATCTCCATGCTTGGCGTGGATGGCGGCTTCGAGGTCCGAGCCCAACGATGAGAGGTCTTGGGAGGAGGAGGAGGAGGGCGAGGCAGAGGAGAGGCTCTCTGTGAGAAAGTGGGCTGAGCGCGTGCGGATCTCGCTCATGGTGCCTGGTGGAATGCAGAGGGGTGGGGTGAGTAGGTGAGGGTAATGATTGGGGCCGGGCTGGGAATGGGCGGATGGCTGGGGCGAGGCAGGCGAGAAGGCAGGCTGACGATGGTGAGGGAGGGAGGGATCGTGATGGATGGAGGACAGATGACAAGCCAAGCCCACCTGCCTGCCTGCCTGCCTGTTGCCGGGATCGACTCGACTCGAGACTCTCTCGACTGGTTGCCCTGCCCTGCCAAGTGGAGGTTGACTGCACCACGCACCAAAAGACGCGGGGGCGGTCCAGGCAGCCTTGGGCCTGGCTTGTGCTTCTTCCAGCCACGCACGGCTGCAAGCACCACCACCACCACCACCTCATCACCCGTCCCTCAACCCCCATGACCCCTGCTCGCCATACATCATGACCGCGAGCTGGCTCGTTCGGGGGTGGAGCTAGGGCTCTTGGACGCCGGCCTGGAAGAATGGTACTATCTGCACTTGAAGGTGAGTCGCACGGGGTCGATGCATGGCGGACACCAGCCGGACGGCGCTGACAGCCGGTCCGTTGTGTTTTGACAGTCTGTTTTCAACATCTTCAAGGCTTATTCCGAAGATGGAACCATGGCGGCGCTCGAGGACATGTTTGACTGTCGCAGAGACGCCACTGCTGAGAGCGCCTCGGACCAGCACAACGACAACAAGCGCAAGGCCGGCAAGCCAGCGAGGTCCTCCAACAAGGGGCAGAAGGCGCCACGCACGGATCCTCCCATCGTCGCGCGAGGTCTGACGGAAAACCTCGACAGCGGTGGCACTGGTGCGAGCGCAGACAAGGCGGCGCTCGACGAAAGCAGCTCCGAGGCCGCCGACAACAGCTGCACTCGCGACGCCCTGTGCCTCAGCTCGGACCCCAGCGACCTCTTCGATATCAAGGACAACCTCGAGGGTAGCAAGAGCAAGGCGTACGGAGACAGTGGCTCCGACGACAGCGACGACGATGACGAGGCGGGCAGCAGTCTGGCTTCGGACCACGAGGGCGACGGCGAGGACGACGACGAGGGCATCGACAAGGAATGCCCCGACCTTGACGAGGAGTTTGTGAGATTCATGACGTTGTGCCTGATGGCCAGGTCGACGTTGCCGATACCAAGCCTAGCTGCTCCGTATCCGACTTGACGGCCAAGCGACCGTCGAGGCACGGATGCAGAGGGGTCCATGGAAATCGAAGGCTCTCTGCAATCGCAAGGCCATGGTCAATGACCAGGGGCCCTCGACGAGAGGGAGGACGGAGCCGCAGCCGTGGTGTGGCGGTGCGGCGTTGAAGAACGACCCCGCGGCGAAAGGACCCTGCCGCCTAGTAGATCTCCCAGCGCTGGGATCCAATCGAGAGGAGTCGGTTAAACACCTCGTCGCGCCTCCCCATGGCCGTGACCCTCCAGACCTTGCCGAGTTTATCGACAATCTCGAGCCCGTCGGCCACCTCGCTGCCCAGCGCCCAGCCGACGATGAGCTTGCCCTTCCACCCGAGTCCGCCGACCTTGCGCAGCTCGACAATGTCCTCGATGGCGATGCTAAACTTGGCCGTGGGCCGGTTGACGAGCTTCTTGGCGTTTTCCACCGGGTCCGAACTCGCCGCGGCCGCCGCGGCCGCCTTGGCCGGGTTGGGCGTGTCGCCGTCGCGCTCAAACGAGACGCACGGCGTCGTGGCGCTCGTCGAGATGTAGACGTGGCCCTTTTTGCCCTTGTACCTCGCCGCGAAGCTGACGGGCCCGTCCGAGGCCGTCTTGCGCGCCGCCGCCTCGCCGCGCACCACGCCAAGCTTGGTCTTGGCCGTGAGCGAGCCCGCGCTCGCCTTGACCCGGTTGGCGCCCAGCGCCACTTCGGCGCCAGCCTTGGCGGTGCCCTTGAGGATGCTCAGGATCTTGGACGGCTTCTTCTTTGTGTCGGTCGCCGACTTGTCCTCGCCCTCTGGTCGCGACGCGACGGCATCGACGTGCTCCTCGGCCAGCTGCTCCGAGTACTCGGGCGGCAGGTCCGGGTGGTCGGCCATGTCGGAGCCGTGCAGCGCGTCCGGAGGCGGGGCGACAGACGACGGCGGTGGAGGCGGTAGCGGCGACTTGTTGGCCTCGCCGATGCGCAGCAGCGTGACGTTGAGCTGGGCGTTGGTCGGCACGCCGCGCAGCAGCATGCTGTGGTTGGCCATCAGAAAGACACAGGTGCAGTGCAAGGCGGACGAGCAGGGTCAGCATGGGAAAGTAGCGGCCATCCGTCGTCGTGAGCCTGTGCAGCGGAGCAACTCACAATCGCAACTCGAGGTACTTTTTCCAGTCGGGCACGTTCCTGTCGAGCCACTCGATGAGCTTGGCGATGGGCACGCGGTCAAAGATGGGCTGGCCAAACATGGCCACGCCGAACCCGAGCGAGGCGCCGCGGTAGATCATGTTCTCCGTGACAAACATCGATGCGAGCAGCAGGGGCGCCACTGCGCCCGCCAGCCGGAACCGGGGCATCCAGCGGTTGAACGGCGGCGTCGGCGAGAGGGCGTTGCCGAGCCTCTCCCAGTCGTCGGCGACATTGTTGAGGATGTGCATGAACGGGGCCAGGCTGGCAAAGATGGCGTCCTCCATCGGCTTCTTGGTGTGGTCGCCCGCGTCGACGTGGCCCGTCTTCTCGCCCGACGCCTTGGACTGTGCGGCGTGCGAGACGGCGGCGATGCTGGTGGGGTCCGGCACCTTTTCCTGGTCCTTCTTCGACTTGGCCCGCGCCGCCTTGGCCTTTGCCCGTTCGGCATCGTCGCCGTCGGCCTCGGCGTCCGAGTCGTCCGAGTCGAGGTCGTCGATGGCCGACGTGTCAGCGCTCTTGCCTGCCGCAGTGCTGACGGCCACGCTGCCGAGGGCGCCGATGAGGTTGGACGCCTCCTGCTCGACTGCCTCGCCCTCGTAGGTCTCTGCGGCGCCCGTCAGGCTGTGCTTGCTGCCGAGGTGACCGGCCTTGGGGATGCGCGCCTTGCCCGTCTTGGCGTCGATGGCGGCGAGAGGAGCAGGAGGGAAGAGCAGGATGCGAGCGCGCGGCGAGAGGATGAGGACGAGCATCAGGAGGAACATGGCGGGCATCACCATCGACGTGAGCCAGGCCAACGAGTAGTAGGCGCAGAAGCCGGCGGTGCGACGCGGCTCGGTCCAGGAGCGGATGCGCGCGACGTGCTTGAAGGCGGCGACGACGCCGACGACGACCGAGATGTAGAGGCGCTCGAGGGTCGACTTGAGCTTGTCCGGCGAGAACTGCTCGTCGTGGGAAATGTAGCAGTCGAGGCCCGTGGCGTCGGTCCTGTCGACCTTTTTGACGCGGTAGGTCTGCTTGTTGAAGCGACGGACAAGGAGCCAGAGGGACTCGTTCTTGAGGCCATGGAGCACGGGAAGGGGGCGCTTGGGGTCCTGGCTCCACCCGAGGTCCTCGAGCTCCGGCTCCAGGGGACGGTCCGAGTCGCCGACGCCCGGAGCGGGCGCATGGTCCTGGGTGGTGGTGATGGCAGCGACGCGCTCGGGCGTGACGTTGGCCTTTGGGACGGTGTCGAGGTGGGCGGCATGGTCGAGGGCGGCGGCGGGGCCGGCGGCGTGGTCGATGTGGGTGCCCGCCGTGGCTTCGCTCTGGTGTGCTCCCGTGAGCGACTGGGCGGCGGCCTGGTCGGGATCGGGAACGGGTGCCGCCGTGGCCACGGGCGGCAGTGGCTTGTCCGTATCGCTCATGGCCGAGGAGGGGGAGAGAAACGATGAGCTGCGGAAGAGGGTGTGCGAGTCGGTGCAATGGGCAGGAAGGAGGTCAAGCTTGAGGCGCGCCGTAGTCTGCCTGGTGGTATCGTGTCCGGCTGTTGCTGGCGATGACGGGCGTCGGATTGAGACAGGCGACGGGATGGTGGTTGTCGAGAGGCAAGGGAAATTAAAGGAGGCGGCAGCGTTGGTCGAGGTCGGTCCGGGCCGGATGATAACAACGTCGAGGCTCGGAGTAGTCTCCGACGAATCGGTCGAGACATGAGAAGAGAGGCTAGGAGATGAGCAGCCAGTCGTCAGAGGCGTCGTCTCGGCTGGCGGCAGCTTGGCTCACTCATCCCATGATTCAGGCGCTCGAGATCTATCTTCTTGCCTGCCTGCCTGCCTGCCTGTCAGCCCGCTGCCGAACAACATGCATATGCCCAGCCAGGCCGCGCCACGACGATGCATATGCATATGATGCTGGCAGGCAGCCATCAATCCAGCCAGCACCGCTCGGCGTTCAAGCCATGCCAAGCTCGTCGGCGGATGGCGAGCACGAGGGGACAAAAAGGCCACGCCGATCCTGCCTCTGGCACACGCACAGCGGTTTGCCAGGCACGCTGTACGGGGGTGGACCCTAGGCTGCCTTTTTCCCCATCCGTCAAGCTGCGCAATGATGTCGACGGCGTCCTCGCGGCCCGATTCAGAAGCCAATCGGGAAGCTACTCTAATCGGTCATCGGGGGAGAGGCTGGAAGACATGCGTGGCACGGGCCAGGCCAGGCCAGGCCAGGTCAGGCCCGTCAAGTCACGCCCGTCTGGACGTTACCCCGCGTTGTGGGTCAGCTGAAAGAGGCCTACCTGCGTACGTCGGCTTCGGCTCAGACGGATGCGCTGCATGCCGGTCCAACGCTACAACCAGCGGCGACGATGAGCCTCGGCTGCCTCCGCTTGCTTGCCTGCCATCCGACCACCATCTGCTGTAGCCCCCCCCGTCCTCGTCAAACCGACACCTCAACCACCCGCATCCGCGCCACCCGCTCCTCTCGTCGCCCGCCATGTCCAAGGTGCTCCCCATCCTCGGACTCCCCGTCCTCCTCGCCGCCGTCGGCTACCAGTTCCTCACGGGCCCCGGCCACTTCGTCCACGACACGCTCGGCGTCGGCCGCGTCGTCGAGTCGGTCAACAACCAGCGATGCCACCAGATCCCGGAGCTCCAGGCGTGCGAAGACATGTGGCTCCACCAGGAGACCGGCCTTCTTTACATGACCTGCGGCGAGCCCCTCAAGCGCCAAAAGTGGCTTCCCGCCGTCGGTCACCTCGACCACCTCAACAAACCCGACGACGAGTACCTCGCCATCCTCGACACCCGCGCCTCCGGACCCGTCGCCTCGCGCATCACCAGGGTCAAGCCCCGCGGCTTCAAGGGCACCTTTAACCTCCACGGATTCGACATCTGGGAGACGCCCTCGGCCTCGTCCGAGGTCAAGAGCACCTTCAACATCTTCCTCGTCAACCACCGCGCCCCCTTCGACCCCGACACGGGAGAGCCCCAGCAGGCCGACTTTGTCGGCGCAAACTCGACCGTCGAGCTCTTTGAGTCGGCCGCCGGCGAGGGCTCCATGCGCCACGTGCGCACCTACGCCCACAAGCAGATCCGCACGCCCAACCGCCCCGCCGCCGCCGGTCCTGACTCGTTCGTCTACAGCAACGATCACACCCGCAAGACGGGCCTTTCGCGCGAGTTTGACCTCCTCATCCCGAGCGACATCTCCTACTGCGACCCAACCGAGTGCCACAAGCTCGAGCGCATCGCCATGCCCAACGGAGTCGTGCGCGTGAGTTGTCCGAGATCGCTGCGGTCCTGCCGGGCGAGGCCGGAGCGAGCATACACCTGACGCAGGCCCCCCTCGCTCTTGTCGCGTCTCTTCGACGCCCCTCCATCGCCCCTCCTGCCCCCTCCTTCCCCTCGCAGAGCCGCACCAAGCCCAACCAGTTCTTTGTCGCCTCGTCGTCCGACCCCTACGTCCGCCTGTACGAGCTGCAGGCCGACAAGACGACGGTGCTCCTCGACAAGATCTACACCGGCTACCCCGCCGACAACCTCTCGACCGACGCAGAGGGCAACGTCTACGTCGCCGTCTTCCCAAAGGCGCTCCCCATCCTCGGCAAGTACTTCAAGGACCCGCTCAACTCGGTCATCCCCTCGGCCATCCTCAAGATCAGCCCCAACACCGACCAGGACCGCTTCTACGGCAAAAAGTTCAAGGTCACCAAGCTGTTCGAGGACTCGGGCGAGATCTTCACCGGCGCCACCGTCGGCGTCGTCGACAGCCAGAACAAGAAGCTCTTCATTGGAGGTGAGTGCCGATCGGCGGTCGGTTTTTGGCCGAGGGCACGGGGGCCATCAATCGCTGACCGTGTCACCGTTCGCCGGGTCCGTTCCCCGCCGCAGGTGTCCTGTCGCCCTACATTGTCGAGTGCCAGCTGTGAGCGCCGTTCGCCAGCTCTGCGCGCAACCCCTCGAGAGCGGAAAGGGGAGCGCCGCTCCCGTGTCGATACTCTTGTTCTCCCTTCGTGCCCGAATCGCAACCAAGCGTCTTGCTGCGAACCAGGCTTCTGCCCAAGGAGGAAAGCTAGGCCGCACCGGCGCCACCGCCGCCCCAGTCCCAGAGCCACTCGTCGAGGTCGAAGCGCACCTTCCTCGCCAGCGTCGCCACCACCGTGTACCCGACGTTTGTGCGGAAGTTCACGCTGCCGCCCAGCCGGTCTGGCGCCGAGGTGCGGACGAGCATGCGTCGGCTGACGAGGTTGTTGATCTGCGCGGGGCAGGAGGGTGGCGAGGACGTAAAGGGGGCCGATCTGGTCAGCTGGTGGCTCACTCGCAGCGAGAGAGGGAGAGGGCGAGGGAGGGATTCGGCTGGCATGCACGTACCTGCGTGTAAACGCCGACGCTCCTCGCGCGCTCCTCCCACATGGCGCCGACATCGCCCTCGACTTCGAGGCCATTGGCATCGACCTCGCCGGGCACGACCGAGAGCGCGAGCTGGTTGTTGAGCTCGGGACCGCACTCGGTGATGAGGGCCTGGAAGATGCTGAGGAGCCGGTCGACGGGAAACGACTTGGGACCGAGCAGTTCCTGCCGGTTCAGGTTCTCGGTCGCCCCTTCCTCCATCGCGCCATTCTTGGCTCCGCGCGCGCGACGGACGATCCTCCTGCCTCGACCCGGCCCGAACTTGCGCCCGCCCGTGCCACCCTTTGACGCGGCCGAGGACTGGCCGATGAGCGAGCTGTCTCGCAAAAAGTAGCGCACGTCGAGGCGCGACGGGTTGTACGAGGCGAGGAAGGACGAGAGGAGCAGGAACGTCGGGATCAGCGGCAGCGAGGCGAGCGTCGACGTGTTGGCCAGCTGCGTCGACACTGCCGGGCACGGTCCAGGGGCGAGTGGCAGGACAGGACGACAGAGGTCAGCAGGAGTGGTCCACGCAGGAGCGAGGGGTGACGTTCCGACTCACGGCGTCTCTTCTTGGTCCTCTCGGCATCGCGTTCGCGCCACTCTTCCTGATCAATCTTGGTCTCCTCATCGACCATGAGCAGGTCTTCATCGACGGCCTCGATCTGCGGATTGTTGCCGGCCTCCTCGCCTGCCGGTGCTTCCACCTGGAGCCTAGCCCTTTCGGCACTGGCCGTGAGACGATCCTCGCAAGCCTTGATGCTCTGATGCCGCGCTTCTTCCGTCCACTCCTTCGGGCCGACCTCGCTGGTCTGGAGACGGACGAGGACGTCTCTGAAGAGGTGTGATGATGCCAGCAGGAGCAGCTGGGTGTCTCCGGTCGTAGCTGTCATAGACCCGCCGTGCAGCCCACAGAAAGACGAAGGTGGCGTCAGCACAGTGATCCAGTTGAAGCGCACGGGCACCGCGTACCTGAGCGGTGCACCCACCTTCGCCAGCTTGCACGGGCACGACGAACGCGTGCCAGACGGCTGCACTCATGACCCGCATCTGGGCCACATCGCGTACGTGCGAGCTGATCGAGTCGTAGAAGAGACCGAGGTAGCTGCTGTACAGCCTGCGCAGCGAGTCCCTGTCGACCATCTCCATTGTGTCCCTGCGCTTGAGGATGCGGAAGACGTGCGGCTGGACGAGCCCGACTGCTGTGTTTGCGCGCATCCGCGTCTCGAGGACCGAACGGTGGTAGGCGGCGTAGAGCGGGTCGAAGTCGCGCAAGAGGATCGAGATGACTTCTGCGGGTGCGTGGCAAGAGGCTTTAGCAGGCGGCTCTAGCAAGCGGCGTTCCTCGAAAGCCATTCCGGAACGATCCTGTGCGCAGCCGAAGCTCACCTTCCTTTGTGTGACGGGGGAACCGGATGACGACGGGGCCGTGGACGGTGGTAAGGCCGCTCGGTGTGCGGTAGTTTGACCATGGCAAGCTCGAGACAAAGACCGTGGTGATGCGACCCTGCGAAGCAGTCTGCGATAGCGAACGAGGGAGTCGGCGCCCTGAGCTCCAACAGAACGTCTACGCCAGACAGATCCATCGGTCTCTCTGCCGCCTTTGGTGGACTCACCAGTTCGCCGAGCCTGCAGAAGGTGGTCCAGACCGTCTCTGGCCACACGTCTCGGATCCTCTCCGCGTTCTCGATGAGCACAGCAACCTTGACGCTTGGGTTGGCGGAGAGGAGCGCAGAAACCCTCCAGAGAAACCAATCGAGCGAGCCATCGGCGCGCCTCGAGGTCGACGCCGGGGCAGTGGAGCCAAGCGACGCCTCTAGCGGCTCAAGCAGGTCTCGGAACAGGGCCGGAGCTGCACTCGAGGTCAGCGGCGAGACCACCGTTGGATGGAGGCCCGACAGCGGCTGGTCCGCCAGCGTCCGTAGCACCATCTTGGCGTAGGAGGCGGTCCGAGCCGGGCTGCATGGATCTTGAAGCAGGATCGAGCCGGGCATCGGTTGGTGAGCCTGGCAGATCCGAGCGCGAGCATATGTAGAGACAGGGTCAGCGATCTGTCCAGACCGCAACGGTCGGTTCCCAGCCAGGAGCGAAGCAACAACCGCTCCGAGACTCACGGTGCCTAGCAGGTTGAGGAGCATGCGGAGCTGGGTCGTCCTGCCCGGGCATGCCAACGAGATCTGCTCGAAGGTCTGGTCAGCATCGCCAGCCACGGCTGCTGCAGCATCGAGATCGGCCATGTCGTCGTCTGTGCCGATGTAGGACGCCCGAGATCCTGCCAGGTATGAGAAAAGGGTGAAGCTGAGGGCGGGGGAGGGTGTTGCGGTTGGCGAAGAAGGCGCCAGCGTGGAAAGGCACTTGGGGGAAGTGTTGCTCTCTCGAGCGCGGTGGGGCCAAGTCACGCTGGCCGCAGGCAGGCAGGGTTGCCCTGCACGGTTTGGCCGCTGCCCACCACCGACCCGACATACGTGCGTCGCTGCGGGCGAGAGGACGGCCGAGTGCCGAGCCAAGGCGTTTCGAGGGCGGGGCGAGGAAAAAGGTGGAGGTTGGACACGAAAACGGCGTCCTTCGATCCGATCCCGCTAGGTGCCTGCTTGGCTTGCTGAACGCGGCCTGCTTGCCTGCCCACCTGCCTTGCTGCACCACCACCACCACCTTTTCTGTGCTTGGCAGACCTCAGCCTCTTTTCCGACAATGCACCGGCTCATCCGACCAGCAGCGTGCTCGCTGGACGGACTGAGCAGCGCTGCTGGTGCAGTCGGAACTGCCGCTCGCCGTATGGCCGGGGCACCCTCCTCGAGCACTCGCACCATCAGCAGCAGCAGCGGCGGTAGAGGCCTCACCACGCTGGCACCATCGGCTGTTCCGACCGGATCAAGCGGCTTGAGTATACAGCAGGTTCGATGGACACATCAACAGCCGCAGCAGCATCAGCAGGGGCACCACCGCGACGCAGCCTCGTCTCCGTTGGTTGAGCTGCGTCGCCTCCGCCAGCTCGTCCGCGAGGCCGATGCGACAAACTCGAAGCTCGACAAGGAGCGCATCCTGTCCGACTTCTCCGACCTGCAGCCCCTGCTCGCCTTCCTTTACGATGCCCACTCGCGGCTGCATATCACCTCTGGCAGCCTGAAGCGTCACCTCGACCGGCGGAAGGCCGACGCCGATTGGCAGCACAACGTGGCTCCACGCCTCACCACCTCCTCCAACAAGGCACAGGCACGCACCAAGCGTACCGCCATGATGGACTCGCTCGAGCAGCGCGTCGACCCGCCAGAAACCCTGCTCGAGCTCTTCCAGATGCTCAGGCAGAGGCGAGTGACGGGCGGCATGGCGCTCGCCACCGTCGCCGTCTTCCTCCAGCGCCACGGCATCCTGGCCGAGCACGACGACGCACTCTCCGACAGCAGCTCGGGCGACGCCGAGCTCGACAACCGCGAGAGCATCAGAAAGGTGCTCATGAAGCCCACGGTGCTCGAGATCTTTATGCGATGCATCGATCGCAATCTCCAGGCGGGCTTCGGCGAAAAGATGCTCGTCCAGGCCTTCAACGGGCGGCACCGCCAGCAGCAAAATGACGACGGCAATGACGCCGCAGAAAACGGGACAGCGGCAGACAAGGAGAGCGGAAAGGGGAAGCAGAGACTGGTCGACGAAGGCGATGCTGGCAATGGCTCGGTGCCGGGCATGAAGACTTCCACGTTCGAGGTGGCGCTGGGCAAGACGGTCATGCTCGACGAGCTGCCCGAGATCTTCACATCCAAGCAGGGCGAGCCGCAGGGCTGGTTCGCCAGCCGCAAGCTCGATGGCATCCGGTGCATCATCTTTGTGGACTTTGACCCAGACCTGCCATCGTCACCCGACCGGCCGCTAGTGATCCAGTCGATCCAGACCCTCTCCCGCACCGGCCGGGAGTTTACCACGCTCGAACTGATCAAGGCCGACCTCGCAGCGACGCTGCCCTCGAACCCGACGATACGAGCAATGGTGGAGCAGGAGCTCGTCCGGTCGCCGCAGCTATGCCACCAACGAGTACGGCTCGTGCTCGATGGCGAGACGTGCATGCTGACGAGACCGCCGGACGGTGGTGCGGCAGTCGAGACCGACGCGGTGCCGGAAGGCGATCAAGGCGCCTTTGTCGCCGTTGCGAACCCGAACGCTTCGAAGGCGAGGCAGCAGCACCCAGGCCGAGGCGAACGCGAAACGTTCGTCGAAAACTTCCGGGCCATCTCGGGCGCCATCCGGCGCAAGAAAGGCATCGTCCCTCGACCCCGCTACTTTCCATTTGATCTGCTGACAGAGCGCGAGTTTACGCTGTGGCGGGGCAAAGTGGCGCTAGTCGACGGCGCTGCTGCTGCGTCGTCTCCTCCGTCGTCGCCTGACACAGAGCCGGCCTACGTGGCGCACCGCCCCTTTTCGTCGCGCGTTTCGACGCTGCAGTCCGTGGTGCGGTGGTGCCACGAAGCCAAGCCGGGCCAGAGCCGGACGCTGCGGCAGCTCGAGCAGCATCTCGTGCGCGGCGCGGACGAGGTCGATCCGCTGATCACGACGGCGCTCGAGCAAGGGTGGGAGGGGCTGATGCTGCGCCACTCGTCGTCGATCTATGTCGGCAAGCGGTCGGCGCACCTGCTCAAGCTCAAGCAGTGGCAGGACGCCGAGTACCGCATCGAGGCGGTCAACGTCGCGCCGATGCGCCTCTCGCTCGGCGGAGGCGGCGGGTACCGCGTGTGCGACGGCGTGGCGAGCGTCACGATCCGGCACAACGGCATCGAGGTGCGCGTCGGCAGCGGCTTTACGACCAAGCAGCGCGTCGAGTGGGCCAAGCACCCCGAGCGGATCAGGGGCAAGTGGTGCACCGTCGAGTACTTTGCCGAGAGCCAGAGCAACGCCAGGGATGGGAAGGTGGGCGCGGCGGGCGGCGCCGGTGCCGGTGCCGGCGGTGGTGATGGCGGTGGCGACGGTGGCGACAATGCCGGCGGCAGCGGCGGCGACAGCGACAGCGACGGTGTCAGAGGCGCTGAGCAGGACAAGGCGAGCGCAGAGCTGGACGGCGGACGAAGTCTGCGCTTCCCGCGCATCAAGCAGGTCTACCTCGAGGGCGGGAGGGACATGTAAAATCGCCGCTGACGTGCGGTGGGGGGTTGGGCAACTGATGGTCGTGCCGCATTCGTCGCTATGTCCCGTCGGCGCGGTCTTGACCAGAGGCAGTGATGACGTCGAGGGCGTAACGGATGGCCTTTTCGTCAAACTTGGGTCGGCCATTGTCCATCCACGCCGAGGGATGCACCTTGACGCAGGCGATGCCTTGTTGCTGCGGATTCGTCGCACGCACGCAGGCAGGGAGGTAGGGGCGGTTCCGGAATCGTCGGTTCCGATTCAGCGATGTCCGTCTGTGGATGGAGAGGGGTGGATCGAGGGACGAGACGTACCTGCAGGGCCTTTGTGTCGATGTGGATCTGACCTTCCTGAAAGTAGACGAGGTGCGAGACGAACTGAGACGGTTTCCACCTCGTTTCCTGGCCGGGTACGTCGATTCGATTGAGCGAGGCGGTAATCGCACTGCGCTCCCCGCCACGTCGACGCATCAGCAGACCCGCAAAAAGGGCGGGGCATGTCAGGCTTGCCGGTGGTCGATGATCGACAGGGGGTTGAAAGGGGGGCCAAGGGACGCACCTGATGAAATCGCAAGCGGATAGGTTGTGCGTTTCGCGGTCGTGGATCGTGTTGAGGAGGAGGATCTTGTACCGCAACGTCGACGAGGTGGCGATGTGCGTCCCGACTCCGCGGAGGATCAGACAGGGTATGAGCGACGTCCATAGCGAGCCGCTGCTCGAAGGATCCCGAGGAGGAGGCCAGGAAAGCGGGTCAGGACCGACGAAGGTCGAGGCACAGTGACTCGGTCGCGGTGGGCGGATGAGGCGAGGGGACAAACGCACCACGAGTAGATCAGGGTCCGGCTTTGATCCAGGCTCGAGAGGAACGTCGGGTTCGGGGCGGGGTAGATTTCGTTTCGGTAGGCCTGCGATGCGCCGCCGAGCCGGGCGGACAGCGAGAGGAGGGCAAGGAGCGATCGGCTTCTCTGTCAGTGCCGGATCGGATGGGATCGAACCGTGACCGCGTCTGAACGAGGGGCTCACATTGACGTAAAATATCCCTGTTTGGCCACACAAAAAGCACGACAGTGTTCACGAGGACAAGGAAAAGGATGAGGAGGGAAAGAGAAAGAGGCCGGACGTGTCAGTCCGTCGACCCCGGTGTACGAGCGTCTGCGTCGCTCGGTGCTGCTGCACTCACTTTCGATGGGCGCGGAAAGGAGCTGCGCCTCGCCTCCGTCGACGCTGCCGCCATCCTTGCTGAAGACGATGTTGCCCGATCCGCCCAGTCCGTCGTCGTCGTCGTCGTCTTCTTCTTCCGTGCCGTCGCCTCCGCGTCCCGTTGCTCGAGACGCGTCGCGGTAGCCCGCACCCTCGCCGTCGCTGTGGTCGTCGTCGTCGTCCGGATCCAGCCCGTCTCCCGTGTTGCCGACCGTCGTCCGACCCCGGTGTCGATACGCCAGCGAGGCCGGTGTGTGCATGCTCGAGCCGAACTTGGACGTTTCCCGGCTCATTGGCGCGGTCGAAGAGGACGAAGGCGGCAGCACGAGGCTGCCCGACATCGAGTCGTACGACGTCCCCAGCTGGTGGTCCTCTGGACGGTCGGCTTCCTGCCCGACCAGTTCGACCTCGGACTCGAGGTCGGCGGCCGAGACGCTCTCACTGAGGTGGCTCCTCCCTGACGGCGTTGTCGTCGTCGCGATCCGGGCGAGGGCGTCGTGGAGATCCACTGGGCCTCTGCGATCGAACGGCTCAAAGATGGCCGAAGAGGGCGTGCCCGGCTCCAGCGTCGATGCCTTGGTCGCCCCGCCATCTACCGTCCTGCGCGACCTCCTCGACGTCGCAGCGGAGCTGGGAGCCGCCTTGACGGCGGGATGCGAGATCTCGCACTGACCCACGACCACCTCGCCGTCCTCGAGCTGCGCCGCGATGGTGGCAGTGTGGTTGGTGTTGATGACGGGCACGACCTTGCTTCCGCACTGGGCGGCATCGATCTGGGTCGTGGCGCTAAAGAGGAAGATGGCGCTCTGGATGCTGCGAAAGAACTTTTGGGCGGCGGCGAGAAAGAAGTTGCCGATGGACGCGCCGCGGAAGTTGAAGTTGCGATGGGCGCGGCGGAGAACCTCGGACTCGAAGTGGACCAGGAAGCCGCGAATGACTTCCTTGCGGTCCGACTCGATGCCGCGCCAGAGCGGGTGGCGGCCCTCGAGGATGTCGTGCCACTCTTGCTTGATGGCGCGCGACGAGCCGGTGCTGGGGAGGCGGTAGGAGAGGAGGGCATGCAGCGCGGCGTTGGACGGGGGCGGTACGTAGGCTTCGGGATACGGGAAGGGCGTCGGGTGTGGCCGAGAGGGGATAGGGATCAGGCGGTTGAGGCGGGATCGAAGGTCGCCGATCGAAGGTCCACCGAGCACGCGGATGATCTCAGACGACGATCCGCCGTTGTCGGATACGGGCATGACATAGGTTGCCCCGGGCGTCGCCGAGACGAGGTCATTGTAACCGCTGCCACCGCTGATGACGAGGATCTCTCCTGGGCCGGTGTTGTGGCCGGTCTGCGGTAATGGTGGCTGCTGCTGCTGTTGCTGCTGTGCAGGTTGCTGCTGCTGCTGCTGTTGCCTCAGTGGAGTCATGGTATCTCTGCGCAGGTTAAGTGGTATAGCGGTCGCCGTCGCTGTCCCTGTCGCCGACCTGACGGCAGGAGCAGGAGCAGGGGCAGGAGCGGAGGCCTTGGACTGCGCCACGGCGATGGGGTGGTCGGCAGCAACAGCACCGGTGTGCCTCTGCTGCGGATGCGGGAGCGGGTGGTGCGGTATCCGGCCCACGTCGACGGCAGGGTTGAGCGAGGGCGACGTCTCTGCGCTGAGCGGGTCGATGGGCGAGTTAAAGAGGCTGCTGGTGATGGAGCTGGTCGGGTGGATGCGCGGCGTGTGGATGTCCGGGTTGCTCGTCGTCGGCGAGCTGTAGCCGTCGGTGTTATCGCTGCGAAAGTGCTGGGCGTGGGCGTGGTGCGATGCGCTCATCCTGTGCAGTGGCCCAGCTTGGGAAGAGACGACGACTACAGCGGCGGCGGCGGTGGTGGTGGTTGCCATGAGGCACGAGAGTGGGCCGTCAGACCAACACCTCTGTCCATCTTGCTCTTTGCACAGACGCACGGCCACGCGACATCTTCCCGCCGCGCACGGCCCTCGTTGCCTCCCTGCCTCCACCTCGACGGCACCACGACGAGCACACACACACACACACAAAGCATCGACGGGCAGACAGGCAGCGCCGGCGACGACAGCCACCGCCGCCTCACTGGCTCGCATTGCATCCAGCCTCTACCTCGACCTCGGCCCCCACCCCTTCAGGGCTTGGCCTTCTTGAGCTCCTTGTTCTTGGACAGGATGATCTGCTTGTACGCCGACACGTCGCCGTGGAAGCGCGAGACGTTGCCGTCATCGACGACCCACAGCTCGTCGAGACAGTTGTTGATAAACATCTCGTCGTGCGAGATGCAGATGACGCCTCCGTTGAACTTCTTGATCGCCTCGCACAGCGCATCCAGACCGTCGGTGTCCAGGTGGTTGGTCGGCTCGTCTGCGCGCGGGCAGAGGGGCAGAGACGGACGGCACAGGCATGATGGAGTCGAGGGTCAGCACGTCGTCGTTGTCGCCGCCGCCGCCGCTGCTGCTGCTGCTGGTCGTCCATCTCGACCCCGCCAAACTCACCGAGAAGCAGCACGTGCGGCCGCATCATCGACAGGTGGGCAAACGCCACGCGCGACTTTTGGCCTCCGGACAGCGTGGCAATCTTCTGCAGTCCCGTCATGCCCTTGATGCCAAACGCGCCCAGGTGCGAGCGGTACTCCTGCTCCGTCTTGCCAGGGTACTTGGCCGCCAGGAACGTCACCGGGTTGGCGTTGAGGTCGAGCTGGTCGATGTGGTGCTGGCTAAAGAAGCCCACGCGCAGCCGCGGGTTGCGCTTCTGCTCGCCCTGCAGCGGCTGGATGTCGCCCATGAGCATCTTCATCAGCGTCGACTTGCCCGCGCCGTTGCTGCCCACGACGGCGATCCTCGAGCTCTGCGTAATGTCAAAGTCGACGTGCTTGAGCAGCAGCCGGTCGGGCGAGTAGCCAAAGCTGACGTCGCTGATCTGCAGCAGCGGTAGCGGCAGCTTCTCAGTCTCGGGCAGCCGGAAGTGCACCGCCTCCTCGTCCTCGGGCGGGTCAATCTTGGGAAGCTTCTCAATCTGCTTGATCTTGCTCTGCGCCTGCGCAGCCCGGTTGGCATTGACGCGCCACCGGTCGACAAACGCCTGCAGCTGCGCCCGCTGCAGCTCGACGGCCTCGTACTCGCGCTGCTGGTTGCGCCGCCGCTCCTCGCGCGTCTCGTAGAACTGGTCAAAGTTGCCCTTGTAGTAATCGAGGCGCTCAGAGTGCATGTGGATGATGTCGGTGGCGACGCGGTTGAGGAAGGCTCGGTCGTGCGACACGACCAGCAGCGTGCCCTCGTAGTCGTTGACAAAGTAGTCTTCGAGCCAGGCGAGCGCGTTGAGGTCGAGGTGGTTGGACGGCTCGTCGAGCATGAGCAGGTCGGGCTTGCAGAAGAGGGCGCGCGCCAGCGCCAGGCGCATCCTCCAGCCACCGGAGAAGGTCTTGGTGGCGCGCGCCTGGTCGGCGGGGCCGAATCCGAGGCCGTTGAGCAG